CTTACTTGTGGGGTGTAAAAATGCTTGGAATGGCTGTACAAAGAGATTTGACAAAAGAGGAAGGGCCTGGCCCAATGGTGGGAGGTTGATTTTGAGGGGAGGGCTGTATCTGCAGGAAGACTGGTGGGAAGGTTTTGTAGCAGTTGTGAGAATCTGAGTTGGTCAGGAGGTATTTCAAGTCAGGAAGAGAATCGGCTTCTCTCAGAATAACAGAGTTGGAAGGGACCTTGGAGGTCGTCTAGTCCAGCCCCCTCCTCAAGCAGGAAACCCTGTACCATTTCAGACAAATGGCTGTCCAATCTCTTCTTTAAAACCTCCAGTGTTGGTGCACCCACAACTTCTGGATTCCAGTTGTTCCGTTGATTAATTGTTCTAATTTAATTATTTGTCAGATTACGCTATTTTTTTTTCTTTGTTTTGGGACGGTTTCTAACCATTGGCTCAACTTTACGCTGATCTTTGGCTATAATAAAGATTTGAATTGAATACAGTTCAGTTCAACTGATTGATTCGATTTGAGTTGTCGACTTACATGGCCCCTACGTTAATGTTCAAAAGCATGATGGGTATCGTAGTTTGGGGCACTTGTAGTCTGGACATTTGAATATCGCTGTTGCTGCTGTTACTCCATCGCTGTAGTAATTTTACAAAGCAAAAGAACTGGTAGCATTGTCTCAGTTTTCCAATTCCTGGGGATGTGACAGTATTTCCCAATCTAGCTAACTCCCAGATGCTTGGACTTCAACTCCCAGAATCCCCCAGTCAGATGGGCCACGGCTGAGAATTCTGGGAGTTGAAGTCCACTCCCCTCACAGAAAAGACCAGTTTGGGGACACTGCATGACCGGGCCAGATTAAGATTGAGGAGATCCCAGTTCAAATCCCTCCCGTCCACCATAAAACTGACTGGGGGAACCTTGAGTCTGGCAGTCTCTCATCCTGGTCTACCTTGCAGGCTTGTGGTAGAGGCCAAAGGAAATTAGAGATCTATTTCTAGAGTTTCTTGGGGGAGGGGGGAAAAAAAGCAATCCAATTAAAAGCAGAGGTAGGGAATGATGATGACCCCTTTGTGACTAATAGACTTCAATTCCCAGAATTCCTGAGCCAGCAGAGCATAGCAGACTCAGGAATTCTGGGAGTTGAAGTCCACAAGCCATGAAAGAGCCATCGTTCCCCACCCCTAAATTAAAACGTCGATGGAGAGAATGAATCCCCACTACTTTCCTCAGCTTGTCCACCGAGTCAAGTTTTTCTCTCCGGGGGTGTTTGCACATTTGTGGTCTGTTCGGGTGAATTCCTCCAAAATAAATGCCGCCTCCAGCTTCTGTCCTGCCTGTCACCAGTGCAGATTAAAAAATGCCCTTCTATGCTTTAGGGAATGAGATCAACTTGTTAATTCTTAACATGCTTGGCTACTTTCGGCCCTTCCAAAGCTGGCATAGCATGGCCTTCCTCTCACGTGCGTGTTTCCTCCTTTTTCCTGATTCCAGGGCCCATCACAGATGCCTATTCCGACATTACTTTCTCATTGTCCCTCTGGGGAGAGAAAACAAGGTTTAAATAATGGGCAGCATAAAAAGTTCAGGTTTCAGCTTTTAAGCAAAACGGTGAGGTTTAAATTCAGGTCGCCCTTGACTTACCACCATAAATTGATATTCAAAATTTCTGTGGTGAGCTTCACCCCATTTTACGACCTTTCTTACCTCAGTTGTTAAGTGAATCGCTACAGTTATATGTGTGACACGGTTGTTAAGTGAATCTGCCTTCCTCATTGACTTTTGCTTGTCAGAAGGTCGCAAAAAGGTGATGACATGATCTCCGGGAATACTGCAACCGTCATAACTATGAGTCAGTTGCCAAGCATCTGAATTTTGATGATAGGTCCATGAGGTTGCTGCAACGGTATGAGGTTGCTGCAAGTGTATAAAACAGTCATAAGTCCCCCTTTTTTTATAACTTTGAATGGCCACTAAACAAATTGTTGTTAAGTCAACTTATGTCGGAATAAGGAGTGGTGCCCTGTTATTCCAGTTTCAGCTTTTTAGCAATATAATTTTTGAAAGGTGGCAGAAAGGAGAATACATATATTCTCTCGCTCTGGTGCCCCTGGGGTCATTGACACAGGAGACCCTGGGAAAGAAAAGGCCATGGCCAAGTCTTGTTTGAGTGGGCTCCACTTTTTTCTGTCTTCATTTTTGTAAACGTTCAATTGTTCACCCACCCACGGCCTGCTAACGCGAGGAGGCAAAGAAGAAGAAATAAAAAGAGGAATTTTCTTTCGAAAAAGCCTCCTCTTGTCTAGGAAGCTGGGAACGGAGCGACTTTGGGTTTTTGTTTAAAAGCGGGAAGCCATCTAAACTTGGGAAAGGGTCAGAATGAATGCCCAGCACCATTGTTTACCTGCTGTTTCAGCATCCTGACTCTGTTGCCATGGAGACGGGTGACCTAGACAAAGCCCCTCCCGTGGCTGAGATGCCTAGTGGGCCTTTAAGTGCATGGGAGGGGAATCTCACATGACAGACCAGGGCCTTGGAGGGAAGAAAGTGGCCTGATTTTAACTTAGTTATCCAATATATCCAAGGAAGGGAAGTGGTCAGCCAAGATGGGCCAATGAAGCTGGCGAGGGGAACCGAAAGCAAAAACTCACTTCTGTAACTCCTCCAGCAGTTGATGCATGTAGTCCTCAACTTACAACCACAGTTGGAGCCAGAATCTCCGTTACTAAGCAAGGCCGTTAAGCGAGTCACACCCGATTTTATGTCCTTGGTTTTTCCCCCCGCCCCCAAGGTGGTTAAGCAAATCTATGCAGTTCTTAAGTGAATTACACGGTAGTTAAGCAGATCTAACTTCCCCAATTGACTTTGCTTGTCGGAAGGAGAAAAGGAGTGTTGATCGTGCGATCGTGGGGACGTTGTGACGGTCATAAGTGTGAGGACCTAGTCATAATTCACTTTCTTCAGTGCCCTTGTAACTTTGAATGGTCACTAAATGAATGGTTGTAAGTCACTCATACACTAATGGTTGTATGTCACTAAATGAATGGTTGTAAGATGAGGGACTACCTGTAGTTAGTGGCAAGGCGTTTGGTACGTTTTATTTATTTTGCTTGAGTTAGCTGTTGCTACACTTCATATGGACTTTCTAACCCAGCAGCTGTGGGTTTCTTCACTTCCTCCGAGGATCAGCCTTGCTAAACTAGGATTATTCCTGTGACTTGTGGCAAGCAGTTCCACTGAGTGCTTTTTGCGTTGGGTAAACAAGCCCCAAACTTAAGCAATGTAGCTACCGCTTCTCTCTTCCAGCAATTTTAAATAGCTGCCTGCATACAGGACAAGGCAGTGGGCATAGATGAAGAATTCACAAGGCGGACCAGAAAAGAAAATATCAGGCCAGGATGAGCTAATTCTCTGCCCTAAAATTATGCAGATGTGAGCTAAGCCAGGAGTGTCAAACTCGAGGCCCGGGGGCTGGATCCAGCCTGCGGGGTGCTTAGATCTGGCCTGGGGGGGCCACCCTGGAAATAGTGAAGGACTGGCTACGATGCTTCTGCCAGCAAAAATGGGCTCCCAAGTTCCGTTTTCCGCTGTCATGGCCTCCTACAACCCTCTGCCAGTGAAAACGGAGCTCAGGAGGGCTGTGTGGAGGCCATGACAGCGGAAAACGGAGCTCGGGAGCCCATTTTTGCTGGCAGAGTGCTTGGGCCACCACAGGCGCCCCCGACATGAGTGACATCGAGCTGGCCCCATCCACCATGACCATGCCCCCCCCGTATCCCCTCCCCCCGAGGTCAAACACAACCCTGATGTGGCCCTCAATGAAATCAAGTTTGACACCCCTAGGCTTAAGCCCTCTCTTCTTTGACCGTCCCTTAGGCAGCATCTCTTCACCCTGCCTCCCAGGCCATTTACACAAGGCGTAGCCTTTTTTTTAAAGTTTTGCAACCTTTCTTAAATTGCATCATTCGTCTGCTTGCCTTTGAGCCGTATCTGGGTGCATAAGACAGTTAGGAAAAGTGAGTTTTTCAATCAAAGGGAATATATTTGTAACTCAGGGTTGAATGAGGGGTGCTCTCTCTGAGCTTGGCTGTTTTCTTGCAGACGTTTCATTAGCCAAATTAGGTAACATCATCAGTGTTGTCAAAGTGAGGTTTGGAGGAAGATCAGGCCAACAGCTAAGCCTACATCTCTGGGTTGTTGCGAGAACAAAAATTTAGAACTGACGGGAAGTATTTTATGTCATCTCCCCTCCAAAGGAGGCACACCTGGTGCACAGGAAGAAAAACAATTTATTTTTTTAGTTTTCTGTGTGTGGTTTCTATTCCTTGGGCAATGAGAGGGGATGACTAAAATCAAGAGATTTCTGTTGCATTATTTTACTTCCTGATCTGAACCACTTGGTGAATGAACTTGATCTGGGATGGGTGAATGCACCATTAAGGCGAGACTGGGGACATCTCACCCTGGATCACCTAGGAGCCGACACTGCCTTGATGACGCATAGAGGTAGTCCTCGACTTATGACCACAGTTGGAACCAGAATTTGCATTGCTAAGCAGGGCAATTCTTAAGTGAGCCACATCCGATTTTTTTAACAACTTCTTTTGCCACCGCTGTCAAATGAATCACACGGTCGTTAACTTTGAAGCTTCCTTCATTAACTTTGTCAGAAGGTCGCAAATAGCAGTCAGGTGAACCCCCTCCCCCCAGATGCTTCAACCTTAATTATGTGACTCTGTTATGATGGTCATAAGTATGAGGATCAAGGAGTAAATCAAAGTGCCATTGTAATTTTGAACGGCCACTAAACAAATGGCTGTATGTCAAGGACTAACTGTAGTCATTTTTTTTTTATCAGTCCTGTGGGTATAAGATAAAAAGAACAGTGAATCCGTATCCGGGAGCCTATATAAAAACCCACTTTTTCACAGCTGAATGAGTGATCTGATTCCATCTCAACTCTTCCTTTCGTAACCTTCATTTCTCTGCGTCTCTCTGCTTTTAGGCGACCGCTTGCGGCAGACGGAGAACCGCGCCACGCGTTGCAAAGTGGAACGCCTGCAGCTTTTGATGCAGCAAAAAAGGCTGCGCCGGAAGGCGAGGCGGGACGCCCGAGCCCCTTACCACTGGCTGCCCAATCGAAAATCCGGCCGCACCAGCAGCAACAGCAGCGTTTCCAGCGAAGGCAGCCTTGATCTGGACTTCGAAGATTCGGTTTGGAAACCCGAAGTCAAAGCGGACATGAAATCCGAATTTGTCGTAGCATAAAAAATAATAAACCTTGGGTAGGGGAAATGGCATCTTTTCGGGTGGGCAGGGGGGGGCAAGGGAGTGTTGGGGAAAAAAAAAAAAGAACCGAGAGACCATTTAGTAATAATAATAATAATAATACATTTTTTGGTCCGTGAGAGCAAAGTTTTTGGGTGCTTGATTCTAACACAAGACTGGATTGCTGTGGATTGCGTTGAGTGGACCTCGTCTTCAGCTGCACCGAAATGGATCACCCAGCCTTGGAACAGTATTTTCTATTTTCAAAAAAAAAACACTGTTCTGCTTTTATTTTAAGAACTGAAACAGCTTTGGGGGGGGGGGCAAAGCAGGCGAGCGAGAGACAATTCGGAAAGCAAGATGGCAAACCCGCGTCGTGGGGAGGGCTTACTTTGATTTCGGAGAGAAGAAGAATCTTCAATGGCTGCCTTAGAAAAAAAAGTGTCGAGGGAAAAAAGCTGGACCGATCATGGCTTGAACGGAGAGCGAGAGAGCCGAAGACTTTAAACCTTCTGACTTCCTAATTTTACTTTATCATTGGGGATCGGAGGGCCAAAGAGGAAGGGGCGAACCCACCAACAGTTTGCGTGGGCTGAAAAGCTGCTTCCTCCCCACCCAAGCATTGACAAAGTGGGGTGTGTGTGTGTTTGAAACTGGAGGCAGGGTTGTCTCGGAATGCTTCCTCCTTTTTTTAAAAAAAAACAACAACAATTATTATTATTATTTTTTATTTGGGTGACTTTTGTGTAACGGGAAGCGCTGTGCATTCTTCAGATTAAGGGAGGGCCCCGATGGAGGGTGGGTGGGTGAAAAGAAAAAGAAAGAAAAGAAATGAGGGTGTATGCTTGTGTGTGTGTCTACACACTTCTATCTGTGTGTGCTTCTTTCCCTTCCTGGATATGTAGCATTTCTGAATTATTCTTGACTTGTCTGATCTCCCCTTAAGAGACCCCACTGCTTTCCCCTACTCACTTCCAAGGATGTTTTCCGCCACGGGCATTTTAAAGATGTGTGACTGTTGCGGGTAGCGTGGGGGGTTTGGGAGACCAGAAACCCTCAAATTTGGGGGGGTGGTTCTCAAACGATGGAGGAGTGAGAGGGGATATGGAGTGGGGGACACAGGGTAAAGGAATACTGTATGCCCTCCATTTGAGGGCTTGTCCTCTCTTCACATTGTGAATGCAACGTGAATGCAAGATACTGCAGCTTTTTTTAAAAAAAAAAATATGCATTAAACTTAAAGAGGGGATCTGATCTTGTCTGGTTTTTTTTTTTTTTTTTTTGGTTTGTTTGTTTTTAAAGAACCAACAAAGTATGTTACGAGCTAGGCAGAGGGGAGAGTAAGATTTAAAACCTACCATTCTGGAGCATCATGGGACCAGCTAGAAAGGCGTTGTTTGTTTTTTTAAAGTTTGTGTTATTTCTATTTTGTTTTTTTCTGCCAACTGCACCCAAAATCAACCCTAATATTTTGGCCCGTTGGTTCTCCCTGTGGCAGAATTCTCACCTGGTCCCCTTTTGTGTTTACTTCATCCATGTTGGGTAGCTGCTGAGAGGGTTTTCAATGCTTCTGTTTAGCCCCTAAAAAAGATGGCCGGCATCCTTGATCCTGCTTCCCATATCCTCCATGGAAAGACCCAGGCTCTCTGTCCATTCTCAGAGGCCATTTTGCCAAGGCATACACACACACACACGCAGGAGTCCAAATTATACCCTCTGGTTACAGAGACCAAGTCCTTGTTCTCATCCACTTTTTTTTTTAAAAAAAATAGTTTTGTGTTTTTTTTTAATTAAGAGACACAAAAATAATCTCTGGAAATTTAAATGCTAGGATGGTGGGTTTTTTTTTTTTTTTTAGTTGCTGATTGACGATGATCTGAGCCAGTAATTTTTCCTAGGCAGTAGAAATTAGTTCTCATTCTTCTTTGCAGACCTAGCAGCCACAAAAGTACATTTGTGGATATGTGTGTGTGTTTGTGTGTGTGATGATTGAGTTTCAAAGAAAAGACGGTGTGGAGAATAACTTGGGATCATCCATAGATCCAACTTTTGAGATACAAAAATTTAATCTGCCAAGTCCCGTCTCTTATGAAAACCTAACAAGGAGGATCCCTGGCTAAGCATCTCTGGGTTATGACATGAATATAAACATATGTTTATAAAAATATCGCAGCTCTCCCTGAAAATGAGGCCAGAGGTTGTAATGGTGACTCATAGCTGGATCTTTGACGAATCAATTTTGACAACTACATTTCCTATGAATTTCTTTCTAGGTTCCCCAACCTACAGTAAACTTAGATTTATGAGAAGAGAAGGTCACAATAAGTTTTGTTAGGTCTCTCTAAGAGCAAATAGGCAATTCCTGACTTGCCTTGTGACCAGTGTGGTTGGGTAACTTACCCCCTCTTTAAGATGCTGGATTGCGTTTTTCACAATGGACCAGGGATGAAGCTAGTACAAGTTCTCCCATCGCCTCTTCCTTTAAACATCTGAGCCATTTTTGGGCCGTCCACCCAGGCTGAAGGGGAAAAAACTCCTTTTCCAACGCATGTTTTGGCTGCTTGAAAAGGTCAAAAGCTGAAAAGTGCTGCCCTTTTCTTCTTTTTCAGCCTTTTGTTTCATTATGAGTTTTCATTAAAGTTGTTCAAGTGGATTTTTGCAGACGGGAAAACCACAACTGGGGAAAAAAAATAACAGTCAGGGACCCCTCTCCTTTTATCATTTTTCTCTTGCTTATCCACCATTCCCATCTCTTTATGCCAGAGGTCTCCAACCTTGGCCATTTTAAGACTTGTGGACTTCAATTCCCAGAGTTCCCAGAGCTTTGCTGGCTGAGGAACTCTGGGAATTGAAGTCCACAAGTCTTAAAATGGCCAAGGTTGGAGACCCCTGCTTTATGCAAACCTTTTCCATAGTTCAGGTAATTGGGGAAATGTTGGAGTACAGGAGAAAAAGACACTTCTCCATCCATAGCTATCTTCATCCTCGGGCTAGAAGTTTGTAACACTACTTAGTACCCAATGTTAATTCTCCTTTAAAAAAAGGGGGTAATCAAAACCAGAATAAATCTCTGAAGCAAATGCCTTTTTTTAAAAAAGAGGTTTTCCTATCAATTGCTCCACTATCTTTCCTCTAGTCTCTTCTCTTTAGTTTGTGCCAAATTTGCCCCTGCTCTTGAAATGATAATTTTTTTTCAGCGGTTGGTGCCTTAAAGTGCGCGGCTGAGACCAAGAGAAGAGGCATTCTCAAAAAAAAAAAAAAAAAACCGGCGGGGGTTCCTCTTGGGAAGTTGAAGCTGGGATATTCTCAGTTTTCCCTTTTGGGGTGGGGGGAAATGCACAAAACTTTTTGTAGCTCAGTGGAAATATTCTTGCCTGTTCAAACTACGTGCCGTTCTTCTGTGTCCGTTACTTTTCGTTTTCCTCCCATCTGTCAACTCTGGAGATTTGTGATTAGAGACTAGTCAACTCTTCTGGCTATCTTAAGAAGTTTATAAACAGTTTAAACTTGGTTTTCAGTTCACCACTCAACTTCATGGGGGGAAAATAGGATCCCTAAGAGAGGGGGGGTGGGCAAACTTTGCATTTGAGTTTGGCTACGATTTTGCAGCATTTCATGGTTAGAAGTCAGGGTTGAAGACATGGCCTTTTCTCCTTTGTAGATTAATGTCAATTCCAGTAAGTTCTTAAAAGGAAAACTTAAAAGGTCCTGTAGAGAATGGAAAGTCACCTGGCATTCTCCAGGTGTGTTGGCCAGCTGCTCCAATGAGGTGCAGCAACACATCTGGATAGATCCAACACATTTGGATGGATTGCAGAAGTGTTGGGGAGAGCTCATCCAAATAAGATCTTGAAACAAATTTTGGGGTGCCTGCATGATGTCAGGTTGTTGCTTCCAAACGACTCCATTTATATTTCTCTCTAAAACCTTACGTTTAGCAAAGATCCAGGGTAACCACTTCATCTCATGTTTTGCTTGTATTTTAAGACAATTGCACAGCTCTTCACCTTCCCTACCTTCTGAGACCACCAAAAATTTGCATCCCTTTCTGGAACTTTCTTGCCAACTAAGGGAAGTGGGCAACCGCTCCCCCTCTGGTCAAATTGTGTCATTACACTTCCTCTTTTCTTTCCCCTAGATGTGAAATTTCCTTTGTATGTGATGCTGTAGTGGGATTTTTTTAAAAAAAGATTTTTTAAATGTTTTTTTTTAAGTGTGTATTTAAATGTACTACTTTTTGTATGGTGTGTGAGTGTATATATCCTTACTTCTTGCCCCTCCCTAATTCATCCAATTTTTTCCCACTTGTCACCTGGGGGCAGGGATCAGCTGTTTTCACCCCATGCTGAACGTTTAGGTAACAGCAAAAATAAATCCCAGAAGCATTATTTAAAAAAAATAATAATTAAAATAAAGATCCTCCTGTATGTGTGATTTGAAAGAATGTTGGGGGGGGGGCACAAGGGGAAAACTGATAGACTTGTTTTATCACCTCATTTAAGTTACCTGTATTAAAAAAAAAAGAAACTTTTAAAATGGTTTAAAAAATAATAAACACAAAATAAAGATTGCTTGAGCCACACATGGGTTGTAGCCTAAATGATTCTCTTTCATTTTGGTATAAAATTAAACTTTGGGGTGAGGGGGGGAAGCGAGGGAAAGATCATTTTTAACTCCAGTTGTTTTTCTGTGGTTTGGTTGGTTCACAAACGCAGAAGCATAAGTGTTATTTGAGACAATGTGCCTCTATTCCAGTTTTCTCCCCAAAGCTCTGCATATGATAAGGAAAACATACGTGATCTGGAAACAAATTTCCTTTCCTACAAGTTTCCCCCTGGTGATTCAGATATTTGTTTGTTTTTTATGTCTGTACATCCCACCTTTATTATTTTTTATAAATAACTCAAGGTGGTGAAAATAACCTTCAGTTTTCCTCACAACAGCCCTTTGAGATGAGTTGGGTTGAGAGAGAGAGATGGTAGAGTCATTCAGCTGGCTTTTGTGCCTAAAACGCGACTAGAACTCACCGTCTCTTAGGGATTGCCCCAAAGACACCCGCCAGCTTTCATGGCTAAGATGGGACTAGAACTCACCATCTCCTAGCGATTGGTTCAAAATCACCCAGCCAGCTTTTGTGCCTAAAACGGGATTATAACTCACCATCTCTTAAGGATTGGCCCAAAGATACCCCGCCAGCTTTCATGGCTAAGATGGGACTAGAACTCACCATCTCCTGGTTTCTAACCTGGTGCCTTAAGTCACCGGACCAGATTAGCTCTAATTTCCAATATATTTGTAATTTCCAACTAATGTTGGAAATGGGAGCACTGGAGTTTTAGACTTTGGTCTGGACTCAAAATGGAAGTCTGATCCATTCTTGAACTTGATCGGCTGAAATCTAAGCCCCTCTGAGGATCTTCCTTAAAGCCAAGTAAATATACTTTCCTCTGGTCCTCACATTGTGCTCAATATCGTGTTGTCAATACTAAAATATCCTATTTTGGTGAGCAGAGCTGTTGCTCTTGCGCTGTTTATGTGGGGTAATTCCAGGGCAGCGACTGATGGATTCCTGCCCATCCTTTCCCTCCTGGTCCATGTTACCCACCAGCAACCCAGTCTGGCTCCAGAATATGTGGTGGGTGAACCCTTAATTGTTCATCGGTCGATTTGGTCTTAATTTTTCTTCTTGACCACATCCTCCTGATGGGACTATCGGTCTTCTAGGAGAGTGATAGGCTTACCGAGAAAAATCCCAAGCATTGAAGAAAGGATGCTTCGGAAAAATATCATTGTGGAACCTGCTAGCAACCAATATACCACAGGTCAAGTGGTTTCTTCTTGCAGGAGACAAAGGTGGTGATTCCAGAAAAAAATATGTTCCCCTGTTGTCCTTTTTTGAAATACCAATGTTTTCTACTCAAGTGACCCTTCGGCTGGAGAAATATCTTCCTGCTGCCACTTCCTTCCTTTTTCTCTTCCTTCCTCCTCCTCCTCCCTCTCCTCTTCTTTCCCTTTTTCTTCTCCCCTCTTCCTCCTCCTCCTTTTCTCGTTCTCTTATTCCCTCTCCTTTTCTTTCTTCTCTTCTTCCTCCTTCTCTTCTCTTCCTCTTCCTTCCCCTCCTCCTTTTCTCTTTCTCCTCCTCCTCCTTCTGCATTTTTCCTTTTATGACGCTGCTACATAAAGCCTTTTCCCCTGCTAACCTTTGCATTGCACAACTCTGTTAAGCTTTGGCTTCCCTGTTGGACCTCATGCTCTGGGACTGTTTTTCTACCATTCCTGAGGGAAAGTGGAAATGAGACAAGCGTAATTAAAATCAGGGGAAAGGAGACTTCTCTTGCGGGGATTTCCTAAAGACATTAGCCATGAGTGGTTCCTGCCTGAAATGAATTCTTTTGGATGTTCCCCTCCCCTCAAAGGTTGGTGTGATAGCACCCCTAGTTAAAAAAAATTAATAATAGAAGAGCCAATACCCAGAAAATTATGGAACAGAGCTATTTAGATCTATGGCAGGGTAAGATAGTTCTAGAAGGTGATGGACCATGGTCCATTTTCCTCTTTCGATTCGAAGTTCAGCTTTGGGCTCTCTCTCAAAAGCAAGTTTCTAGTCCATAATGTTTTTTCCAACTACCACGCTGGAATAATTTTAGGGAAGATCTCAGCTGCCCCTGAAGAAACAGAAGCCCAGAAACGGAGCTCCCTTCCGGTCAGGCGACTTTGAATTTCCCAGCCCTCCCCAATCTCTTTTTAAGCTCCCATGGGGCTGTTTCAGGCTTCCTGGAAAGGCCTGTTTACATGTTAACATGGCAAGTCACTGGCAGAGCCTTGGAAGCTGGACCCCCTGATCCACTTGGTTCCCCCCCCCTCGGGTGAAAACCTTTGCAATCCCAATGAAGGAGCATATTTGTAGTTCAGTGCTGAAATGAAGGCTCCTTGGTGTTCCCTGAGCGTGGTAGTTTGCTTGCAGACGTCTCATGGCAAACTAGGTAATATCATCAGTTACTCGCATTGATGGTGTTACCTAGTTTGGGTCATGAAATGTCTGCAAGGAAAAAAAAAATCTATGGAGATTCTCAGTCATCCAGGTCATGGTTGTCCCAAAGGTGCTTTTTCAGGAGGCAACTGGACTTTTCTTGTTTTTTCTTTGAAGACGTTTTACTTCTCATTCAAGAAGCTTCTTCAGCTCTGACTGGATGGTGGGGAATGGAAGGATTCCCAGAGAAAAATTGCAAACTACAGGAACATTTCTCCGGGTCCGCTTCAAGGTGCTAGTCCTCACCTATAAGGCCCTTCATGACTTAGGTCCGGGATATTTGCAGGACCTTCTCCTGCCTGCCTCTTACCGTCCTGTTCGCTCACATAGGGCCGCTCTCCTCAGGGTTCCAATGGCGAGCCAATGTCACCTTGCTGTGCCCAGGGGTACGGCGTTCTCTGTGGGTGCTCCCACCCTCCGGAATGAATTACCTACTGAGCTCCTGATCTCCGCTCCTTCCGTCGGGACTTGAAGACTTGGCTTTTCAAACAAATAGGCTGAGACTGATTCCGGGCTTTATTATTTACTCCTAATTAATTATTTGGATTAAATTATGATTTTATTGTACTTGTTTCTTAACTTGTGTTCACCGCCCTGAGTCCTTCGGGAGAATGGCGGCATATAAATACATGAAATAAATAAATAAATAAATAAATAAACAAACAAACATTTGCACTACTCAGGTGACCCTGAGGACACCTCAGGAATTATTGAGTCTGTCACCTGCACCTCTATAACTGTCTGGTTTGGCTCTGCAACCCAACAAGACAGACACAGACTTCAGAGGATAATTAGAACTGCAGAAAAAACAATGGCTACCAACCTGCCTTCCATGGAGGACCTGTATACTGCACGAGTCAAAAAGAGGGCTGTGAAAATATTTACGGACCCTTCGCATCCTGGACATAAACTGTTTCAACTTCTACCCTCAAAATGATGCTTTAAAGCACTGCACACCAGAACAACTAGACACAAGGGCAGTTTTTTCCCCCGAATGCCATCACTCTGCAAAACAAATAATTCCCTCAACATTGTCAAACTATTCACTAAGTCTGAATTACTATTGCTATTAATCTTCTCATTGTTCCCATTTCACCCATCTCCTCCCACTTATGACTGTAAGACTATAACTTGGTTGCTTGAATCCTTATGATTTATATTGATTGTTTCCTAGTATGATTCAATTGCTTATTTATACCCTATGACTATCATTAAGAGTTTTACCTTATGATTCTTGATGAATATATCTTCTCTTTTTATGTACACTGAGCAGTGGTGGGTTGGCCCCAGTTTTCACCGGTTCTATAGAACCGGTAGTAAAACTGGCGGGAGGCTCCACCCACCGACCCCAACATCATCAAAATGCTTCTGCACATGCGCAGAAGAGCGTGCGCACAGCCCCATTGCAAACTGGTAATAAAGATAAGTAGAACCCACCCCTGACACTGAGAGCATATGCACCAAAGACAAATTCCTTGTGTGTCCATTCACACTTGGCCAATAAAGAATTCTATCTATCTGTCTGTCTATCTAGCTAGCTAGCTAGCTATCCTCTATCCTCTATCCTCTATCTATCTATCTATCTATCTATCTATCTATCTATCTATCTATCTATCTATATCTATCTATCTATCTATCTATCTATCTATCTATCTATCTATCATCTATCTATCTATCATCTATCTATCTATCATCTATCTATCATCTATCATCTATCTATCTATCTATCTATCTATCTATCTATCTACCTACTATCTATCTATCTATCATCTATCATCTATCATCTATCTATCTCTCTACCTACTATCTATCTATCTATCATCTATCTACCGACTATCTATCTATCTATCTATCTATCTATCTATCTATCTATCATCTATCATCTATCTATCATCTATCATCTATCTACCTACTATCTATCTATCATCTATCTATCTATCTATCTATCTATCTATCTATCTATCTATCATCATCTATCATCTATCTACCTACTTATCTATCTATCTATCTATCTATCTATCTATCTATCTATCTATCTATCTATCTATCATCTATCTATCTATCATCTATCTACCTACTATCTATCTATCTATCTATCTATCTATCATCTATCTATCTATCTCTATCTATCTATCATCTATCATCTATCTACCTACTATCTATCTATCTCTATCTATCTATCATCTATCATCTATCTACCTACTATCTATCTATCTATCATCTATCATCTATCTATCTCTTTACCTACTATCTATCTATCTATCATCTATCTTCCGACTATCTATCTATCTATCTATCTATCTATCTATCTATCTATCTATCATCTATCTATCTATCTATCTATCTATCTATCTATCTATCTATCATCTATCATCTATTTACCTACTATCTATCTATCTATCTATCTATCTATCTATCTATCTATCTATCTATCATCTATCATCTATCTACCTATCTATCTATCTATCATCTATGTATCTGAATGCAAACAACCAGCTGTCTCCAAGAAATATCAATCCTTCCATTCCCCACCATCCAGTCAGAGCTGAAGA